CAGTCTCGCGTAATTTATATTTTACAAATAGAAATTAGGATATTTAAATGTGTAAAACATATATATAATAATCATCTGTTTACCAGCCTTGATTCCTTGATATATTTTTTTCTTAATTTGCTAACACTACACGAAACCATGGAAGCTCTCAAAGGATCACTGTCAACCATGTCAGAACTCTTCAATACTCGTATGAATGAGTTTCAGCAGGACTTAAATAAGACTAGTCCAACTGTGGCCTCAAATATATCTGTACTCTCAACGGAGTTCGCAACATTCAGAAAGTTTTTCTTGTCCGCTCTTGAAACTGTTCAAAAACAGATTGAATTTCTTGGGAGAGATCGACCGCTTGGAGATAAGAGGGCGTCGTAAGTTTCTGCTGCTTCATGGGATTCCCGAGGACAAGTCCGAGGATACATCTTCAATGGCTTCTAATCTTATAATGGACAAGCTCAAGATTCCCAATGTGTCTAACAATTCTTTTAGCAGCTGCCATCGCCTTGGACGTTCTATAGAAAAGAAGCCAAGACCAGTTCTTGTAAAGTTCCGGGATTTCCGAGTCCGTGATCAAGTTTGGTTCTCAAAAACAAAACTGAAAGACACGGGTGTCACTATGTCCGAGTTTATAACAAAAGGTCGTCACAAGATGTTCATGGTGGCCAGGCAGAAGTTTGGCATAAGTAATTGCTGGACTAGGGATGGTTACATTCATATTATCGCTTATGACGGTTCGCGCCATCAAGTTGAATCCCTCGCTGAGTTCGAAGTCGTCCCAGTAGCACCAGCTGCTGCTACCCAAGCACAGAAGGCAGTCGCTGGAAGTAATAGATCTACTGACAAAGTAGTTCAGCGCTCCAAGAGGATAGTGAAGAAATTATAGTTATGTGGTATAGGACCTTTAGTTCTCTTCAATAAACTGTATGTATTGTCTTTTATCACATTATGATTTCTGTCAATATTTCAGTGTCTCTGCATTGTGCTTTTTGCTAACCTTATTTCTTTTTTTTACCATTCTTATGTTAAGTGTTAAATAAGATATGAGTTAATTACTCCATATATTATATAAGTAGTCTAATAGTTTTTTTAAATATATGAGTTAATTAGTCTCTGCATTGTACTTTCGATAACCTTATTTCTTTTATACCAGTCTAATGTTGAGTGTTAAATAAGATGTGAGTTAATAAGCAAATTAGTCGTTATAAATCCCTAGTATATACGAAGTATTATCTATCTACATCACGTTGAAACTTAGACTTTGTATATTGTTTTGATTTTATTGTTCTAAGTTAGGTTAATTTAACAATGTAGGTATTTGATACTGATAATTGACTGTTATCTTAGGTTTCGCATTATTGTAAATTCGGTTAGCATAATTGTAAATTTTTGTTTTTACAATTATGCAAAGAGTATATAATCACTATGTTATTTACCTTAGAGAAACATCCTCTCATTACAGAGTATTAAATGTTCTTGGTCGTAGACAGAGAAACCTATAGACAAATTGACGCCTTCTTTCGCATTCGCACACGAAAAAGATAGATTTATGCATACGTCTTGCATAGAAATGAGATAGAACGGTGTGATTGTTTGTCCTTTTCTCCGTGCTGGTTTTTTTGTTTAGCAAACTCTACAGTTTGCTAAACAACTTTGACAGCGTAGTGATTTAAGGAGTTTACAAGTTGGTTTAAGTGAGAAAAAAAGTGTTTTGTGGGCTTAAGATTGGTGAATCTTGTTCAGTTCAGTTCTTAGAACAATTAAAATTTTTATCTAAATGTGTTTAAAAGTCATAAAGATTATTCCATTACCTAAAAATTCGTTATCGTTCTTTCTCACTAGACTACTTCTCGATTGGACACGATCTTATGGGTTGACGGTTAACCCTTCAAAATCGCAAGCTATAATTATTGGGAGTTCAAGAACTATTTCCAAAATTAAAAAATGTCAACTTCAACCCGTTGTATTTAATGGTATTCTTATTCCATATAAAGAAGTAGTGAAAAATTTAGGTATCCTTTTGGATTCCAGTCTTTCTTGGACACCCCAAATTAATGCAGTGAGCCGAAAAATGTTTGCGGCTTATGCTTCACTCCGAAGGCTTAACTACTTTTTACTCATTTCTACCAAAATTACGCTTGCACAATCTTTGCTACTCCCTATCCTCGACTATGCTGACATTTGTTACCTTGATATCACCGAGGACTCCAAAATCTCTGTATACGGTTCATATTTGGGCTTCGTAAATATGACCATGTCTCGGAATACCGCACTAAACTCAAGTGGCTCCCAATCCGTCTTCGTCGGAATACTCATATACTTTCTGCGCTCTACTGCGTCTTATTTAATGAATCAACTCACAGCAGAATAGCCTACAGCTTTAGTCAGTAATACAGCACTGCACGCAGTGCTGTTTATCGGAGTGCAGAAGTATGTAAGAGGGTACCTACCTAGATATATAAATTATATATAATATATAATATATCCTAGACGGAAATTTTTGTAAGAACCAACTTATTTTTTTTTTTTGATTGAAATTAAAAGGAATCTTCTATAAGATGAAGTTAAATATATCGTAGTTTTTATTTCTGTCTGAAGCCCCAATATTAAATTTCTATTTTTTAAGTTATTAAGTTAATTTTGTGAGCCGGGCTTAAATTTGTTCTCCTGCGTTACATAAATAAAGTTAATTAAAAATGTAACCAATATTTTACTTTTTTGTTCTTCTTCGTTACTATTGTTTAAAATTAAAATAATTTTTTTTCGATATCTTTTTTCGACATCAGTTAGACAGGTGTAACAATTTACTTAAATTAAGTCAGTCTTAAATGCAAAGGAATCAACATTCACTTATAGAAAAAAAATATAACAAGAAGATCAATTCTACAAAAGCTCAAGCTAAAATTAAGGGACATTTGGTAACGCATGAGAAGTTTTTGGTAACATATGTGAAAATATATTAACATATTATATGCAATCTAAAATATCAACAAGTGTACAAACTTGTGTTTTGGCCTCGAAATTAGATCGAAACTCCATGGCAACAAGTAAATTAAATCAAAATATTTGTTATGCTTACGCAGAATCACGTGGTCGCATTGCAGAAACACAATAAACCCACCCACAAAAAACACACCCTCTCCAAGCACTTTCTATCTATGTTACCAACAAACTCTCACATAACAATAGCTGTGGAGAGTTGAGCGTACTCTCAGATCGAGTATAAACTACTTAGACTAGTAACTTAGAAGACCGCCAATGTGTAATATTTTTTGGGGACAAAGATTGAAATATTCTTATAAAATACGTTATTTTAAATGAAATCTTATTTATATTATTGTAGTAAAGTTTAATTAATTGTAATTAAAAACATGTACAAATTAAAAAGGGTTTTCTTACAAAAAATTTAATCACTTAAACTAAATTGGTTACTCTATACATTCTGGACACAGAATGTATAGAGTACTGCCATTATCTATCAGAAGTAGAGTTGCCAGATAGTCGGGATTTGTCTCAATTCTCCCGATATTTTAAACGATCTGCAGACTCCCGACAAACCTCGAAATCTCACGACAAACAACTTGTCTTCACATCACAGCTGCTTTTAATTTAACAAAGGCTGATTTACTAATTAGACTGAACTTTGTAGTCAATTGTTTGAATTTTAAATCTACTGTATAATAAAAAAGGATCTTAATTGGTGGATTCAGTAAAGTATTTTGTAGCTTATTCATTTAAAAAACAAACTTTTTATTTAACATATTTATTTATAATGTCTGTTTCTCCTGACAACAACCTCTAAATTCCGACATTTTCAATTTTTGTCCAAATGCTATGGCCTTCCGATCTGGCATTTCTAACTGGTTGAGACCACGCTTTCACACAATACCAGCGTAAAATAGCAGCTGTTGTGTCTCGCACGGTAAGCTTTGTTCTGGAAACTTAGCATTCCATCTCAGTTCACAGGGATGACAAAACATCTGGATTTTGATTCTTAATCGAGGATAGATATTGACGTCTATGGGCTAGCATCCACTTATCTTCAGGTGGACTGTGTGTTCGTTCGCCACTGTTATTCAATAAAAACAATCAATAGAAAAATATTGTATTCTCGTTTAACGCAAAAAACGCCGAAATTTCTACGAAAATTTATATATAGTGAATGAATAACTGGGTAACATATAGGCATTTTTTATCTTACTTTGGATATAGTAATAGAAGGGTTAGGATTTATTAATTATTCTTAAATCTATATTTATAATACATCAAATATATAAAAATTAATATTTGTTCGTATTTTATGCGCTGCCATACCGTTCATCAGATTGCGGTAAAACTTTCTCAACATATTTCTTGCACTTCCGTGAAGTTGCCACAAGAACAAAAAGTCAAAGCTTATTTTTTTTAATCATAACACTACATTTATCTATTACGATTATTATTAAACGATATTCAAGTTTTTTAGTTCATATTTCTACATTGTCACCTGATTCTGAGCTGCGTTCAAAATTTCAAGTTATTAGCTCAATGGGATGTGCTCGAAATTTAAGTTGCAAGATTCCACCCGGAACGACAGACGGACTATACTTCTACAAGGATATGTAAAGATTTCTAAATATAAAAAATAAGTCATTCATTCAGGACATTCAGAGCATATTCAAAATAAAAGACGAAGAAAAAATGTTTATGTAAACCTTGATAATAAGATTGCCAGCAGGGCTTGCATATCTGTCAAAAAACGAACCACACAGCTCTATATATCGCATATTCATCATTGGACTATATCGAGTTATAATTACTTCATAAATATTAATTTCATTAAAACCTATTTTGTGTTTAATTGAAGCCGTAGATTAAAATTCACGAACTAACAGATAACGTGTAGTAGTAATTATTTCATTTAAAAACACTGACACACAGTCAAAGTAAAGACGTTAAACAGACTTGACGTCAGGTGACTGTTGCTGCTTGTTTTACATTTTTACGTAATCCAGACCAAGGTCAAGATGTTGTTACCAATTTTTCACTTGTTTGCTGCGGGAATTGATACGTATGTGATGTGGTACGACCAGCATTATGTGGAATTACCTGTACACAATGAACTTCTTAAAGACTTGCCATTGAAATCTCGGTCTTTGTTCTTAACCATTTGGTGCCTTGTAAGTATTTGTGGAATTAAAATATTTTTTTACTCAATTTGTATTAATTTTAACAATTTGTTACACACTAACATAATAACAAATAATGTACATATATGTATATTATATATTGAATGAATAGGTACCAAATTGCAATACACAAACTACTAAATAATATATAATACTAATTAGTGTTTATTATAGTTAACATATTATTATAATGGTGTAATGACATTACAGGGTTGTATAATTTATATATTACTTTATTAATGTGTAGTTAAAAAACAGTAACATTATTTTATATAAGATATAATTTAAAAAAACATAATTAACAATCGATATTGAAAATAAATTAAAAAAATTAAAAAACACACACACACACACACACACACACACACACACACACACACACACACACACACACACACACACGCACGCGCACGCGCACGCGCACGCACGCACGCACGCACGCACGTACCCAGCTCCATTCCAATGGAATTGCTAAATTTACAAGTGATGTTTAGCAATTCCATAAGATGGGAGCGACTCGAGGCGAATAACTTGCGGTCATCCATATAGAAAAGGTGGGACACTTTTGTCCCTCCTTTCCGTAGCTGAAATCCCCTCCCGGATCCCTCCAGTAAGGTATTGAGAGGGTTCAGAGAGAGGCAGAACCAGATTGGACTCAGACAATCGCCCTGGAAGATACCCCTTTTTATCCTTATGTGGTTCTCCGCAGCCATCATCAATCGACAAAGGATCGTACTCCACTGCCCCATACACTGCTCGAGGAAGTCTCTCACTGTATAGTCTATCTTGTACAGCTCGAGGACTCTCTTTAGCCATGTATGGGGCACCGAATCGAATGTCTTTCTGTAGTCTATCCAGGCGGCGGAGAAGTTCCGACGGTTGCGTTTCACCACTTTGCCAATGACCGCGTCAATGAGGAGTGGTTTTGTGGTCAATGACCTGACACCTGATTTAGTTCCATGTGACGAGTGATTATCGCGCTCATAATGGATGTCAGTGTCTTATACATGGTGGGTAGATACGTAATGGGGCGGTATTTGTTCGGGTCTGTGGTAACCTGGTCTTTAGGAACCAAATGAGTGATCCCAGTAGTGAAGAGGCTAGGGAGCGACTTCTGGTTGAGAGCCTCTTGAAACTGACGGGCGAGCACAGCGTGACACACCATGAACTCCTTCAGCCAGTAGTGATGCAGCCCGTTGAGTCCCGGACTTTTCCAGTTCGGGGCTCTACGGACCGCCTCAGCTACGTCATCCGGCGTTATGATGACGGGGTCCTTGGGCGTAATACTCGCACACTGACTCGCCACAACTTCCGTCCAAGGGCCCTCGCTGTGGTTTACGGGCTCTGACCATAGGCCACGCCAAAATGCGACAGTATTAGCCTGATCCGGTCCTGGGCCCGCTCCACATGTCGCCTCCTCTCCTCCTCTGGTCGCTCCAACGATTTATAGAGCCTCTTCTGATCACTCTGGAAGAGACGATTCTGGTTGAACCGCCTTGACCTCTCAGTAAATCGGCGAATCCGCTTCCCCCAAGCAGCGATCTTTTACTTCAGGTCGTCTATGCGCTCCGTTAGTTTCTGCGTGATATCCGGCTGGGACAAACTGATATTAATCCCAGCAAACGCCATTCTAACGGTGCGCACAATCCTCGGTCTATTAGTACCCGACCTGAAGCTTGTCAGTCTGCCGATAAGGGCCCTTTGCAATATGGTCCTCAATTATTTTATTCCAGGCTGGGATGGCGCTACTTTGTTTAGTAGCGCGTCAAGCCATGGGAAGTTTGGCGCCAATAATACGGCAAGCTGCCACTGCGGCGCCAAAAAGAACCGAGTGTCCGTCTCGCAAAGGTTCCGGCTGGCTTCCAAATAGGTTACCAGCATTCGGTTAAGAGCCCTCAAGACAGCCCGATTTCGCTTGCTTAGGGGTATGCGGGTCGATTTTCGAGAGGCATGCTGTGCGTTTCCAAAATCACCTCTTCCAATATACTCCTCATTTGCTCTAGTTCGTTGGGAGACCATTTCATCATCGTCCGAATCAACCTCAACTGGAAGATCCATGGCGGCTACTACGCGTGGCAGCTGGTCTGTCGCCTGAGGAGCTGCATCCCCAGCCGTAGCCAATTCATTCGATGAGGGAATGGCCTCACGTCGTAGTCGTTCGAGCTCGGCATCATCAAATATTATAATATATAAGAATAATAATAATAATAATTATTATTATTATTGTATAGGTTACTAGACCATTAATATTTGCACAACGCTAAGGTAGAATAATAAAAAAGAATTATACTCAATAAACTATGGTATTTGTGAGAGAATAAATTATTATTATTATTATTGTATAGGTTACATTAATTCAAGGTTATAATTTCACACCATTGTTCAACCATATTATTGCAAATTAAGATTATTATAATATTATATAGCAAAAATCTCACCCTATCAACATACGTTCGAGGCTCAAGCGTTCGGATTTATCGGTATTCTGTGAGAGCGTTGTACTTCTCCTGTTGAGCTGACCCATTCGCACTAACTATAATTTAGTTGCAGTGTGGCCCTAACACGTGTAAAATTCAGTACTGTAAATACTGAAACACCATAACAACCATAAGCCCGGAGAAGAAAATCAATAATTTATGATTTTGTACAAATAGTTTGTATGCCTGAGATTTTAATTTCTCACCCAGGCTCCGACTCAATAGGTAGGTACTCCGTCCGCTAACTTATACAGTTATGAATTAAGATACATACATATTTTTTCTTACGCTTTTCAACTTTTGTTTTTAAAAGTGCATTTTTAACACATCATTATCATCATCTTCTCTACAGCCCTTCACAAGTCCACTGCTGAACATAGGCCTCCATCAAAGAATGCACTTACCCGTACAAGGCTGTTACTCGAAAACCTTTCTTTCCCATCAGTTGTCGGTTCTTCGAGCTATATGACCGACTCATAGTTACTTCAACTTACTAATCCGTTAGGCTATATCGGTTACTCTGGTTCTACTGCAGATATCCCCTTTTCTAAATTTATCGCGCAGGGAAATCTCAAGCAAAGCCTTCTCCATAGCTCGCTGAGCAACCTTGAGCTTCCTCATACGGCCTGAAGTGAAGGAACACGTCTCAAATGCGTAAGTCATCACTGGCAAAACGCACGCATTTTAACACGTGCCGTCAGTAAATTCATATTTTAAGTTTTAGTTGTCACCTAACATGAAAAGCACAAGTAGGAGGATAGAAAAAAGAAGCAGGATATCCGCAAAAGCATGCATCGGCATATATGTAGCTTAACTTATCTTTTTTATATTTATTAAAGGTTAATTTGCCTAAAATGTTAATTGCCTACTCATGGTAGCCTTTTTTATCTGATTTATATTTATGCATAGAAATATAAAAAACAGGAGAAGTGGCAAGGGGCGTGTGTCCGCGCGCTATGATCAAAATGCTCAGCTTCTATACACATGGCCGTCTCTGCGAATTAGTGCGCTTGCGACCGTCACGTCGTGAAATATTATCAGAATACCATGTTGTTCAGTGGTTTCTTGTAAAAACCGAAACCAAAACAAAAACTTTGTTAATCATGGAATCACTTACCATACCTAAGTAAAAGTGTTATATTATATTTATCTTTAAAATCATATTAAACAGCAAATCGTAAAATATTTCTTGCTCTTACTACGTTATTTTTGATTTCAAATATCACAGCCACTGTAATATTTTTGCAGTAAATACATTGCCCCATATTCACTACCTTAGTATGACAACAAGTGACTGAACAAGCAATGTAAATATCACAAAATAATACTTTATTTATGCAGATAAACGCGTAATACGGCCGCTGTATCTGCGACGAACTAGAGTTGATTAAATTTTAGGTTAATAATCGATGGAGTGTTAGGTTTGAATAATCGTTTACGCCTTATCTTCGAAAGATTTTCATACTTTTTATGGTTTTGGGGTTTAACACGATTTACAGTTTTCAAAAGCTACGAATGTATCATAAATACCTAACCGGCATGATTCGGATAGTATCAATAGTAACTTTGGCTTAGAATTATTCCTGCTATTTATTTCTTAGGCATGAGTGTATTTTTTTTTTCATATATTTAACAATATTTTCACTAACCAGAGGTTTTTATAACAAAAGCTTGCCAGGCAAAACCTACCTAGTACATGGTGAGGCTTAGAAGAAGCTTAGGATATATGAAAATAATAAATAGGTTATTATCGTACCTTTCAGTTTCCCAAATGATGCTAATTTAAAAAAGGAATTTAAAAAAGAATGAAGAGAACCAGCTAGGTGGTCTTCCTGTGGCATCAATGCCAACGACCACCTAACTGGTTCCCTACAAAAACTTGTACTGGTCGTCGTAATTTGTATGAGAATGAAAATAATCATAAAAACAACTTATCTCGCCAATGATAAATTAGCAATTAAAATAAAAATAAAGTCAAACAGGAACGCATGGCAAAGGCTTTGCCAAATTTAATTTTTTTTAATGTTAAGTTTCACCAATTTGAGCAGTCCCCTATGAATAATCACATTATATATCTTATAAAAGCAGTCATGCAAAAATACATTAATTTACGATTACACTATTTGACAAAGAATGCCACCCCAAAAATAACAAAACGTCAAGTGCTGCACAAATACCTTCACTTTACGAAGTGAGAAAATACTACAGCATGGTTTCAAAATACCTACTACATCAATCCGCTATGATAGCATTTTTACAATTTTCTATTACATTTTACCTACATATTAATTGCTTTTATTACACTATTCTCTAGACATATCGTATTTTGTTTATTTTATATTCAAGGCCAAAAAAATTTTTTGTACAATTTTGGTATAAATGAAAACGGGAAATAGAGTAAATGGGGCCTTGCACTCTATTGTGAAGAGTCAAAATGTGTCGAAAAAGGCACGTATGGCAATTCACAATGCTGTGTTGGTCCCTACTTTAACGTATGGTAGTGAAAGTTGGGTGTGGCAGAAGAAGCACGAGAGTAGAATAAACGCAGTAGAAATGCGGTCGTTAAGGAGTATGTTAGGGCTGAACCTGAATGACAGGGTAAGAAATTGTGTAATAAGAGAAGAGTGTGGTTTTCAAGATGATGTTGTGACCAGGATTAAGAAAGGAATGCTTCGGTGGTTTGGTCATGTGGAAAGAATGAATGAGGAAAGAGTGACAAAGAAAATTTATGGTGCAGAAGTGAATGGCAGAGTCGGAAAGGGACGTCCTAGGCGAAAATTTATCGATCAAATTGGCGATTTATTGAAAACGGGCCAAATTAGGAGTACCCTTAACCGACGAGCATGTATGCGTAGGTGTATGGATGTGAAGGAGGCAAGAGAGGTGTGTCAGGATCGTGCCAAATGGAAGTCTGTAGTCTCTGCCTACCCCTCTGGGTGACAGGCGTGAGTGTTTATGTATGTATGAAACAATCGTTAACTTTCCAAATTTAGTCAATCACTAACGCATATGTAAAATAAATGGCTTTTTACAGCATAACGATAGTGACCGATATTTTTTGTGTAAATAAGTAGCACGGCGAATGGTAAACGCACGCTGCGCTTTCAGAGATATGGTTTATAATTGATTGTGTAGTACGTTCTGATTTATAAAATACGAGTGAGTGCGCGACTGTGTATCTATTGCTTTTACTGATCTGCATATGTATATATATATTTTTAAATATTAGTAATCTTATTAATTAACATTACTAATATTCCTTTTAACCACTCCTGGTAAGCTTGAAAATGCTTGTGTTAGGAGTGGTTCACGACAGTACATGAGGCTACTGTCGCTTATATATATATATATATATATATATATATAATATATATATATTTCATGTGCGAAAATCGAAAATCTATTTAATTTTTGTCAGCTCGACTAATTGACTTGAAAATATAATCTGCTCGAAGTCACTTTAGAACGCCGTGTCGCTCGAGATCTCATTCTAAAGATATCGTGCGATAAACACTCACACGGCCGGACGTTCGGAACGGCTTCCTTGGGAATCTGATGAAAACACGCATTCTTAAAATTGGACCGAAATCTGTAACTTCCTACTTTTGAAAATTATTAATTTTTGAAGCGAGAAGCCAAAAATTATAATTTAATCACTAGGACAAATCTTTGACGTTCGTGTCCTCGTTTTTGCCATAACCATAAAATATATTTCGATAATATGAAAGGCATGTTATTGAATTAGATTTTTAATCGGCTACATATTTATTTAGATTCTTTATTTTCTGATAAGAAGCTCATAGATTCAAATAAAGTAACCTTTGTCCATAGATTATCGAACGCTTGCAAATATGCATGCAGCGGCGAAGAGAGCGAGAAAAAGCCTTTTAAGGTAGAAAATCCAACACAAGTCAACACTTTTTTTTTTTTTTTTTTTTTTATAGAAGAGGGGGCAAACGAGCATGTGGCTCACCTGATGTTAAGTGACTACCGCCGCCCATGATCAACCGCAGCACCAGGGGAATTGCAGGTGCGTTGCCGGCCCTTTAGAAAGGAGTAAGCTCTTTTCTTGAAGGTCCCCAGGTCGTATCGGTCCGGAAAAATCACCGGTGGTAAATTATTCCACAGAGAGGTTGTACGCGGAAGAAAACTCCTTTTGAAACGTACAGTGGTGGACCGCCAAGCATCCAGATGGTGTGGATGGTATCGGGACGTTTGCCGTGTAGTGCGTTCACGAAATTTGGCGGCTGGGATTAATCCGAACAATTCCTCAGAGCACTCCCCGTGATAGATGCGATAAAATACGCAAAGAGATGCAACATCTCTTCGCAGCGCCAGTGAATCGAGCCGATCGGAAAGCACTCGGTCGTCGACGATTCGAGCCGCTCTGCGCTGGATGCGGTCAAGTGGAAGGAGCTGGTACTGGGGAGCCCCAGCCCAGAGATGGGAACAGTATTCCATGAGCGGCCGAACCTGCGCCTTGTAAAGTTGCAGGCGGTGTGCCGGCATGAAATACTGTCCCGCTCTGCTGAGCACGCCAAGCTTTTTAGAGGCCAATTTGGCCTTCCCTTCCAAGTGACCACAAAACTGCACGTCACTCGATATGTCGACGCCGAGGATTCCGATACTGGCTGAGGCAACAAGGGGAGTGCCTTGAAACTGAGGGGATACGACAAAGGGGTTCTTTTTAGCGGTTAACGCGCAAACTTGTGTCTTCTGGGGGTTAAACTGGACTAGATTTAGTCGCCCCCAATCCGAGACTCTGTCCAGCAGAGACTCGACTTCAGACACAAGTTTGTCCCGGCACTCAGAGACGTTTTCCCGAGAAATATTTGCTCGGCCGGTGTAAAGAGCATCACCAGTGCTGTCATCTGCATAGCAATGAATGCTACGGGTTTGCAACATATCATTGATATGCAGAAGAAACAGCGTTGGCGATAGCACGCAGCCCTGTGGAACACCAGCATTAATAAGCTTGCAATCGGAGCTTGCACCGTCTACAACGACCTTGATGCTCCGATCTGCAAGAAAACTGGTGATCCAATCGCACAATTTCTCGGGAAGCCCATAGGAAGGGAGCTTCGAAAGAAGCGCTTTGTGCCAAACCCGATCGAAGGCCTTCGCAATGTCCAAACTAACGGCCAATGCCTCCCCCTTGGACTCTACTGCCTCCGCCCATCTGTGAGTTAGGTAGACCAGAAGATCACCAGCTGACCTACCACGGCGAAAACCGTATTGGCGGTCACTAATCAGCTGGCGATCCTCAAGGTACCTCATGAGCTGGCAGTTTACAATGGACTCCATTGTTTTGGAGAACAAGGAGGTGATGGCGATAGGCCGGTAGTTGGACGGGTCTGAGCGGTCGCCTTTTTTAGGGATCGGGTGGACGAAAGCCGTCTTCCATGATTTTGGGACTACGCCTAGGGAGTAGGAGTACCGGAAAAGACGCGTTAAAACCGGTGCCAACTCTGGAGCACACGTCCTCAGCACAATTGGGGGGATTCCATCAGGCCCACTCGACTTATGGATGTCCAGGGAGAGGAGTGCTTTGCGAACCGAGCGCTGAGTGAAGTGCACTTCCGGCATGGAGCACTCACACCGCGGGATGGTCGGCGGCGTACTCCCCCCGTCATCGAGAGTCGAGTTAGACGCAAAGAAAGAGCCTAGAAGATCGGCTTTCTCCTTTGCGGTGTGGGCCAGTGAGTCGTCCTCCCTGTGCAGAGATGGAAGAGATGGCTGACAGAAATTCCCCTGGACAGCCTTGGCGAGAGACCAGAATGCACGGGTTCCAGAAGGAAGACGAACTAGTCTCTCGCCAATTCTGCCTATGTGCTCTGACTTTGCCTTGGCAATGACTCTTTTGAAGGACACTTAAACAAAGTCACAACTTAGTCTTTAGGTCGGCCTTGTTTACTTAATAGAACTACAATATTTTTGTTCATGGATCCACAGACACAACACAGAACTTTTCTTTAACTGTTCCTTTATTTTATTTTACGGAATAAATGTGGATTGTCTATATAACTTAAACTCAAAACTTTGTTAATGGTGAAATCTTAAAAGTTCTGTGTTGTGTCTGTGGATCCATATTTTGTATATAAAATACGTACCTACGTATAAACCTAAAGTTTGGAGGGGTTCAGAGTTTATCGCATTATATATGACGCAAAAATGACAAAAGAATTATCTATTCTTCTTCTCCTTCATCAGCAGTCCGTAAAAGTCTACTCTAAGACATCGACCTCTCCCACTGTAGGAATGATTTGCTATAATTGCCACGGATGGCAGACTCGCACAGTCTCGCAACTTTGACGTTGCTGTCCGTAGCCAGTCTGGGTATTTCATGTCAGGCTCTGATGTAACCGATTTGCTTATAGTACCATATATCGAGAGCCATTACATTTCTCTGGCATTTTATTTAGTACAGGTAGTGATGAATTCATTGATGCCGCTAATTTTCGTTCCGTCCTTATGTTTTCATAAATTTACTCCATGTTTTTAACCTCTTTTTTAGTTATTTTTATGTTATCTCTGTGCATATCTACGTTACTTAGTTTTATTTGAATTTAATATTGAACGGACACGACATGCACGGTGTTGAAATCATCCATGGTTTGTTCGATTTCATGATGAAATTACTCCGTAGAAGTGTCATTTTTTTTATTTAGAGCACTTTTAATGAATAAATGAACGAATATATTCACACTTATTTGTCTACTTTCAGATAATGCAAATTGCCTACCACACCATCGCCTTCCTGAACGATATATTCGGATCAAACGACCCATCGCCAAAGAAGAAACCTCTGATACGGTTGATAAAAGACACGCTCTTCAGTCTCGCATTTCCGGTTGCAATATACGTGTCCGTAGCATTCTGGAGCATTTATGCAGTAGACAAGGATCTAATATTCCCAGATTCCGTAGAGAAATTATATCCGACCTGGATGAACCATGTCATGCACACGACGGTTTCGATTTTTATGTTCTTGGAGCTTTTAATGACATACAGAAACTATCCCTCAAGAGCTGTTGGTCTTTCAATGATATTAGCTTTCTCAATGTTGTATATGGCATGGTACCTGATGATTTATTTTAAAACAGGAGTATGGATTTATCCCATCTTCGATATATTAAACTGGCCTTCGCGGATTGTTTTCATTGTTATTAGCAATATTGTAGTATCAGGTGTCTATGTTTTTAGTGAAAAATTAAATTATTTGTTATCGTCTAGTCAACAAGACGCCAAGCTTAAGAAACGCTGACAGTGCCGAAAAGAGCAGTATATCCATTGTAACAGGGAGTTTAGTAAAATTAGTTACCTGAACTACAAAACAGTGATGATGAAAACGGAAAACCAAATATAAAGTTAATATTTACAATATTCGGAATATTTTATAATTTATTCGGTGGTTTGAAACAGTGCACCTTTATTATAAATCGAAAAGCAAAAATGTTTTAATAATACATAAACAATTGTATAACCTGTTTATTCATCGCTCGTGTTAGTGTGAAGTCTTTGCTTTTAACCTTGGTAATAAACAGACATTATATACTCACCCATGACTAACTAATGCGTTGTCTAGCTTGTGTTTCTTAGCAGTATTTACATGATGTGTATATCACTTTTTATAAAAAAAAATAGAGTTTTTTTGTTCATAACATGTTCATTAAATTCTTGTACACTAGGCGCTAGACTTTCACAACATAAATACTACATATTTATTAGAAAAGTTGCAAGTTTTTACTTTAATTTTATTTATTTTATAAGTTTACTAAATATAATTATGAAAAATTAAAAATTAACAATTGATCTTTTATGTTATTTTACAATTAAAAATAGTTCTTTTAAAATTTAAATTCAATCGCTAGTGACGTCAACGATAAATTGATGAAACACTCATCTTTACGTTGTCAAAATTAAAAAAAATGTCATTACATAGTACAAGTTATATATGTTTTGATAAGAGTCATCATAACTTATTAGCATATGACACATGGTGATCCGAATATAGAAAATACAAAAGTGTCATAGATTTAGTACACTGATGAAAACTGAAAAGTAATAGAGTAACTACAAACATGGAAAAGTATAGCATGATTCGATTGGCTCACAGTCAGCCTTACGTAATTTATATAAGTATAGTTTTCCATAGCATTACATCAAAACGAAAATTCTGTAAAATCCCTTCCTTTATCAATATAACGCACCCAATCTTCATCTTTTAAAAACATGTAAATAATTAGGTATGTATCTTTTGTTACGGAATGTTTTAGTATTATTATAATATCTATTGTTTATTTAATTTATTTTATATGTCATATTGTATATATTATTATTTATACTTACATTTATAGTTTATGTCATTAGAATTCATATTTTTTTAAATTAATAGTTTTTGTAGTATCAGTGCATCACAGACCCATTCATAACTTTGTACATCCAAAGGTTGTCTGAAAGACTTTTAACTTTTAGCGATAAGACCGCCTGATAAACTATGCATTTTATATTTCTCATTTAAAATAATTTTTATCATGATGTTTTTTTTTCGTTCATCATCAAACACCGACGATTCCGTAGGTGCCGGCTAAAATCGAACTCTAGTTATTTGCGTACTGTGATTGCTCATGCTCGGGCCGTGGTAGCAATTACTATACATTTAAATAAAACTAGTTTTGACGGCTTTTATTGCGTATCTTAACTTATTTTATACTCCCATTTATTTTATTATTATTTTATAGTTAGACATTTGTCGACGTCAATGCTGGAAAATTGTAGGTCAGTCAACTCTGAATGGTATACTACAGTTGCATTACCCAAAGCTTTTCAAACTGTGCGAGAGAGAAGACTAAAGACCGGGCTTCGGGGAATCATGCTGCATCACGATAACGCCTCTTCACATACCTCCTTTAGAACAAAAGCATTTGTTGGGGAATCTGGTGTCGAAATTATAAGTCATCCACCCTACAGCCCTGACTTAGCTCCTTATGATTTCTTTTTGTTCCCAAGAGTCAAAGAAAAAATAAAAGGCAAGTTTTTTTTTCAAGCGCCGAAGAAGCCGTGGCTGCCTACGAAGAATGTCAGGAGTGCCCTACGTATTTAACTTCGTTCTAAATTGTAAATGTTTAATTCGATGATTTCGATGTAAACGGGCTGCTGGCAGCTGTTTCGTAATATTTCAATTAGTTTTATATATCCGTAAAATGTATATATTACGTAGTTAATTATCATTTTTATTTTGTTTTCATTCTATATTGCTACACCTACGTCAAATTCTCACCAATCCATGGGTTGTCTGGTAGAGAATTCCTCAAAGCATTAAGCCGCCCTTTGTCTTCTTTTGATTTAAGGAACACAATACAGAATAAATAAATAAATATTTTAATTTAAACTGCTTACAATGCGAATATATCAAATATGCGAAGCGTGACGATAACCTTATAAGACAAAACCTGTTCGTACAATCATGAATATGAATAAAAAATTAAACAAAAAAATACGCTTAAGATCTTAAAAACAAATTTGGGCCCAGATATCATCACTAATTAATATCCTCAGTTTATAATTTGAATCAGCTATTTTTCTTAGAATTTTAAAAACTACTTAGCACTCTTTAATACGACTGTGATAATAAAACAATGTTCTAGTTACCTACTATTGAGACAGTTTGTAAAAAAAATCTGCAAAAATTGAGACTGCAAGAAAACGCGAAGCTTCGTTTAAAAATAGACGTCTTTACATATACATATCTTTTTATACACAACATGTAATAAAAACCTTGTGATTGCCGTTAACTGCGTTATCAGAATCAGTATGCAAGCGTAAAGAAATATTTTTTTTCCAAAAAAAAAAACATTTAAAAAAAATTAATTTTAATGAAAAACAAATTAATTTGCAAATTGTATGTGGTTTTATTTCCTCTAACTCAGAACCTCTACAAGAGTATCGGTAATGCGGGGTCTTTGACAATTCTCTTACTCCTCGGCCAATGCAGAGATAATAAAACCACATACAGTTTAAAAATAAATTCTTTTTTTCATTTAAATTAATTTTTTTTTAAATGTTTTGTTTTTGAAAAAAAAAATCTGTGCGCTTGGATACTGTTTCTGATAACACAATTAACGGTAACCACGGGGTTTTTATTACATGTTATATAATTCTTCTATCCGTGTGTCATGTGACTGAACTCCTCCTAAGCAGCTGGACCATTTTTATTCACAATTCGACCCGGTAGGTGGCGCTATTGTCGAGATCCGGAAATCACCCGAGCGAAGCCGGGGCGGATTGTAAATAATAAATAAAGTTGAAGCGTCTACGTCTGTGTATAATAGTGAAATAACAAATAACCAGTTTATGTTAAGCTTGCCTGTTGCGTCTATTAGGAGAAAATTGCATGCTATTAGGAGAAAATAAGAAAAAAACAAATTTATTTTTAATCCTTACGTATTTTTCCATACATATTTGTTACTGCTCTTCGCTTTGGCCAACAATGATCTAACCACCTTACCTTTTACCTTACCTTTAAAATAATTGTACGAGTCTGAGCAATTTAGATTCATATTTAAAATACATAAAAATATAAATTTTTAATTAAATTAATACTTGCTCTTTTTCTTTCTTCTTTCAATTTTACAATCATAATGGAAAAAATTCTTTACGTAAAACTTCTTGTTCCAGACTTCCAATCACGGTTAATATAAAAAAGCGCAATGTATGTATTACAATTGACTGAAATATTGTACGATACTTTAAATTATAGTACGGGTGGCCCCTAACTATACCTAACCCTGTAGCCCTAAATGTAGTTGTCTATGGGCCAAAGCATCCACTTACCATCAGGTGAACTGTGTGCTCGTTTGTCATCCTTATTCAATAAAAAAATACCATTTCGGTCTTAATAATAAAATTTAGTTTATTGGTAGTCTCGAATTTACAGATAAGAGGTTTTGTCCCCTAGTCGCGACGCCAGTCTTCAAGAAATTGTGCATTTGCTGTCATATTCCACATTTTACATTTTATTTTTTGTATTTCCCATTCGACTTCTTCATTGAAACCAAAGGGATTCGATGGTGTATAAAGGTTCCAAGGAACATTGCCAACTTATATCGCGTATATAAGTTACGTTTTATAGCTTTAAATATCAAAAACACGTATTAAAATAATTAAAACAAACTATAATTTCATTCATTATCAAGCATTTGGTATATTTTCGTCGAATTTCTTTTCGATTAGCCAAAATTATTGCACACGAATATGACCTCTCGTGGTCTCATCACACTAGACTAAGCGCCTTTTTACCTACAGGTAAAACTACGTAGTAATATTATTTATTCTGTGGTAAAACGTAGTGATTACATATTCTTTGCATATAGGTAACAAGTGATGGGTTAGAATTTTGACCTCTTTGTCCCGTCCATCGCTCGTTAATATTTAAAAGTCTTGATTGAAACACATTCCAAGCAATAAAATCTTAGACTAAATATAAACTCCTTTTCTTAATTAGACGGATTATTATATATCGTAAAAAAAATTACGACTTAAAAATTTTATTCAAAATTTAAAGAGCTTAGTCAATGTAAAACGAGCTTCGGGCATTTGTTTCTTGTTGTTCGTGGCCGCATTTCTCGGAGTATAAGTACTATACTGGTAGGCCACCCTCCTGTTGACCAACGTTGCGATGTGAAGTACGTCTAGACTCTCCTGGTACTCGTCGATCACCTTGCAAAGCTCCTGGATCATGAAGGAGCCTAAGACATTACGATACGACAAAAAACCTAAAAAAAAATCATTCTAAATTATATAAAGTACGAGACAAAATGATTAACAATGAAAAATAAAAATAATTATTTTTATGAGCCCTTAACATGAGCAACCAATAACAAACCCTAGCCTATGTTCAGCAGCAGACTTGTGAAGGGCTGTAATGATGATGAGCCCTTAATAGTCCACAGCCTGACATTGGCCTCTCTTCTCTAATTATCCATCCAATATAGCCTACAAAAGCTTACTGCTGGTCTGCTGAATATAGGCCTCGCTCATTTATTGCCTCATACGAGAAATTTTGCCTCATAGGGCGGTTTTTTATTATTTTGAGTTATTAACAGGAAGGTGCTGCTGTTCATCACATGTTTAAATTTCCCTACGTCGCCTATTACGAATCCCACGTGACGGTAACTACACGGTACATCTTATAATAAGAAGGATTTTCGGTAATCGCCATGATCCATCGCGAATTGGCGATCGCGCTGCCAGACATCTCAACCTTATGAGACTGTTGTTCGTCGCCGGCCCACGGATTTGACATCTGGCATACGAAACGGTTTTA